AACCACAAACACAACGACAAACACACAACCACATACACACAACCACAAACACACAACCACAAACACAACCACAAACACACAACCACAAACACACAACCACAAACACGCAACCACAAACACAACCACAAACACACAACCACAATCACAATCACACACACAATCACAAACACAACCACAACCACAAACACAACCACAAACACACAACCACAAACACACAACCACAAACACACAACCACAAACACACAACCACAACACACAACCACAAACACACAACCACAAACACACAACCACAAACACACAACCACAAACACACAACCACAAAGACACAATCACAAACACACAATCACAAACACAGAACCACAAACACACAAACACACACACACAACCACAACCACAACCACAACACACAACCACACACACAACCACAACACAGCACACAACCACAACACACAACCACAGCACACAACCCGAGGACCCACAAGCAAGATCGAGAACTACAATACTCACGACCATGGCAACATGCTTCTCACTATGGCATCAAAACAAATGATTGAAATGCCATGGTGGGGATCACTCGAAGTAAAGTAATTCATTAAGATGTGACTTCTTTGCGTAGGGAACTCAGACATTTGGTCCCCCATTCCCAGTCGTCACATGAGAAAAAGATAAAACAAGGACATCTTCGCCTAACAAACTCCAGTCATATCTCAGAAAGGTATGACCCTCTAGTCACCCACTCCAGGTCCCACCTTCTCAGGGACTCCAAAAAGGCCCTATGGGGTGGGTCAAGCGCTGCCAGGTGACGAAAGGCGTCCTCCTGCTTCAACCGCTGTTCCTGGGATCGCCCGTTGGATCGACCGCCGGAAGCTCGGCGCTTCAGCGGGGCAACGATGGACGACGTGAATGCAGCACAAAACGAGGTCCATGTTCCAATGGCAGTTCAATGGGATCCGTCAAATGTCCAATCAAATTGTACATATTCCAATGTCCAATGTCGAATTTCTATCTGCAAACATTGCATGTGTGAATGGGGATCAACAAACCCTCTTCAGAGGCTTGGTCGATCTCACAGGTGTCACACCTTCGTTCTCATTTGATATTCCAAGCTGTCACTCCTTCACATCATCCACCCAGTTTCTCCCCTCAAATGGTTTCTCCTCCAAAGTCGATTCCTCAAAAAAGAGACCACACTCTCTGCCAGTTCCAACCAGGGCCCCCAATTTGGGGGTGTTGAATCATAGCCCTTTAGAGGTTGAGGGTTGTAAATTCACTGAAATTTCACCGCCCCAAACCGGCTGGAAGATGTTCCAATCCCAAGTCTCTTCTTGCGCTGCTTCCTGCTCAGGACTCAGGTGGATACTGCCGTCCGTTGAAAGCTGCACGCTGCTCGCCGATGCGCGGCTGGCGACCTTTTTCGGCCGCCGGCTTCCTGTCCGAGGGTGGAACTGCACGAGCAGGGTCTTGAGATGTCTTTAAGACTCACCAATGTTCTGCCGCTTGGCTGCTGATGCGATGAGAGCTATCTGTTGTTGGTGACTTACTTTCTGGATGTTCACAATCCATTAAGTGTTTTCTCTTTTGGAAATGCAGAAGCAACTTGAAAGAACATCGCAACTTGAAAGAACAGACGCATGTTGTTCGGGTTCTTTGGGAGGTCATTCGAGCGACTCTTTTGCGTTTTGAGATACACCTCTTTGAGTCTTTGAGTGTCTCTCTTTGCTGTTTAAGTTTATTTTACTGGATATTATTCAGGCGGAATCCCACTCTAATACAAGTTGTGATGGCACTACACAGAAGACCAAAGCAGCTTCTTAGTTCTTGTCAACTGCTCCCATGCAGTGCCCAGGCACCTGCGCCCCGCCGCTGCGCCCCGCCCTCCAAGCGCCCCGCCGCTGCGCCCTCCATGCGCCCCTGCGAGCCGTCGCCTCCACGAGTGATGGACTGCTGCGATGCATCCTTCCGCAAGCCACGGATGCTGTTCTTCCGTCCGGGCTTGCCCGAGTGCTCCCGTCGAGGCGTGCCATCCTGGGGGCGCCAGGCAGTGTCGCTGGGGTCGTGGGACCATGCAAAACGAGAAAGACAAGAAAAGATGGTCTGGGCAGTTGCAAACATTCCGAAGTACTTGGTTCATCTTGGTTCAGGGATCATGTCCGTGCAGCCATGTTCAGATGGAAAAGACAGCTGTCGGGCTGGATGGGTAACATTCACACCGGACCTTCAAAGTGACCGAACTTGAGATCCCAGCATGAGGTCACAACTAGTTCCTGAATTTCCCCTGAATGAAGAGGTCAGTTTTTAGACTCATAATTATAATATAAAGAGGTCACTTTGAAGGTCCTGGCATAGATCGGACTGGCTTCCAACCTGCCAACTTCTGCCTCCGGTTGGCTTAAAAGAGCACCTCTCCCGAACTTGGCTGCTGCAGGATCCACACTCTGGATGCCCCTGCAATGCGAGGGGTTGATGTTTGAAGGCACCTCTCCTTCCGGTGCTCCTTGTGCGTCTTCTTCAATTCGGCCGACCTGCGAGGTCAACAAACGAAAGAGAGGTGCTCAGACCTGGGTAGTACGATATAGGGTACAAGAAATCGACCGCACTTCTGCGTGCAAGTTGGAACTAATACAGAAAATCAAACCCTAAAGAGTTCCTCAAGGACCTTCTGAGAAGGTGGGACTGAGGTGGGTGCCAGGAGGGTCCAAATACCTTCTGAGCAGGGACTTGGAACCCTATAGGCTATACGGGAAAAAACACATGAAAAGAACTCCTCCTCCAACAGCACCCCTGATGAATTGCAGTTTCACCTCGAAAAAGTGAATGATTCAGGACGACAAGAAGGGACCTCGGGCTCCTTCTTGGTCCCTAAAAGGGTCGAAACACCTGACACGAATAGTATACGTATTCGATGTTTATATGGAGGAGTTACTTTGGTAGAATATCTGCCTGTCTGTTCATCTATAAAACGAGACACAAGGCAGAAATTCGTTGGAACTTCCAGGTACAGAAAAGAGAGCTCTATAGATTGGTTGAATAACAATGCGGGTATCCTCTCTATATCAATCAAGCATGCAATCTATTAATCAGGCCATCTATTATCACCACCTGTTGTACACCTCACCAGCACCGCAGCTTGCAGAAGTTCTGAGCCATGACAAGGCCAGCCCAAAAAGAAACGACTCAGACCTGCAAGCATCTTCTGTTTCCATCCGGCTTGCCTGCTCTTACTTATATATCTGTTTACATCCGTTTACAGATGTTTTCGGGAGTTCCTAACTTTTGTCTTTCTCCAACGTCCATGTCACCACCAGTCCGTTTTCAGTTTCCACGTCTCATTTTTTGTCCGTCTCAAATGCTAATTAATGCCAATTATGCCCACCAAAGCCCAAAGCAACACAAAAAACACCATCTTGGCGCCCAAGAATGCCCCGCTTCGGCCCATCTGGCTTCCCGAAAAAGGAATGCACCGAGCCACTTGTCCAGTGCACGCTCGGTGATGCTGCCCTTCTCTTTTGCCGTGCGAAGCAAATGCGTTGCCAAAGCACCCTCCTGTGTGTGGCATCGGGAAACTGTGTTGTGCGAAAAGGAGTGCGTGGTATATCGTGGTATAGGCTCCTCCACACAAAGGGCGACATAGTGACATATGTACATAGCATACATAGCCTTTCATCCCAGAAACCGGTGTCACATCTGATGCCCATGTCGGTTGAATGACTTGCACATAGGACCACAGCCAATTGGAATCATCAGCAAAGAGCTGAAGCATGATGCAATCTCATGCCACGGGTGCGGCTGGCTGGTGGATCTGGTGGATCGAGGGATTCGAGGGTTCCTAGGAGAAAGTCTGAAATCTTGCGAAATGGCATCTGAATTGGTCATATGGCCGTGTATAGGGAGACTGCCAACCAATTAGTCGACTGGTCTATTCCTTCTTCCAGGGAATCTTTGGGGGGCCATATATGACCCAGCTGAGAAGAGCTCTAAACATATATCGAACCATGCCTAGTAGAAGACACATCACGACGAGCATGTTCAGATCTGTTGGTTTTCATCGCCTACCCATCCGAACTCTTCGATCTACGCCATCAAATTTCCCCCCGTTCTCGGAAAACCCTCCCGTTCTATGCCTCAACGGCCGCAAAGAAGCGATTCCACTTCTTCAATGACACTGAGCCACCAGTGGGCTCCTGCTTTTGAGCCAGTGGGCGAAGCGTTTTTTGTAACGTCGAGTACGTCGACGTGTAGTTTGGTATGCACCCCCCACAAACATGGGTCTTGGACTCACTCTCAGCAAAACGCTGGAAGGTACGGTATAAGCTTTTTCCACCTGTGCTTGTTCAGTGGGGTTTCCCTAATTCCCCCCAAAAGGCTTTGCAGGTGATCCATTGACTGGGTAGATGAAGAACATCATTCTTCACTGTCGCTTCCTGGTCCATCATATGGAAGATCTGGGCCTGGCACAGCTGGCAGAGTGGCTGTGGTCATGCACGGAAGGGATCTGTGGGCAAGAGGATGACCTAAACAGGGCTGAACCACTCAAGGACCGGAGTTCTTTGGAACAAATCGCAAAGGTGATGCGCGGTGCCTTGGTGTCTATCTTTCATGGGGGTGACTTGATCTGAATTGGTGAGAGCAAAACAGCAATTAGCACTCGATCCACTTGCACTTCTTGACACAACCCGCCACATTCGATGCCACACGACACGCACACAGCCCGGACGGGGGTCGCTACGGGGTCGACCTCGCGGCTGTTTCGGCCTCATTGAAGCCGGTGAGGCGCTCCACGTCGGTGCGCAGCAGCTTGAGGCCGTTGTCCCAGGCCACTTGGCCGAACCTGAAGCGCGCGCGGAGTCTTGCTGAGACCCCGTGGAGGAAGGTGAGGTGGTCATCATTAGCCTGAAAGACTACATCTACTGAAGGGGGTTCAAGTGGGAAGACTTTCTGTGGAGGAAGACGGAATTGTGTGGGAAACCTGGCTCCCCAAAACGATTCCATGGCGGAATATGATGGATACTCAGGGCCGTTTTCCACTTCCATGTTAGCGGGTAAATACATGTTAACATCGACCCCAAGCAACATTACCCACCTCCTTCCACCAGGCACCCCCTGCCCACCTGTCCGCGCACCTCGCTCTTCTGCGCTCGCTCTTGTGCCATGGAACCGGCCCTGCTTGTTGGTATCGAACCACTTGAAGGCAAGCTTCAAGGAGCCGAACTTCGCGATGAAGATGTAACCAAGGGCCTTGCGATGTTTCTCACAAGGTCCCCAAGAAGAACAGTCACAAGAGATCACAAGAGTGAAGACACCCTGAGGACACACCAGAAGAGCACACCAAGGCGATGGAGAGCACACCAAGGCGAAGGTGTTCTTTGCTTGCAAAGCGGATGATCATCTTGCAGAATCAACTGCAGAAATTAAACGAAGCAGTGGTCTCATCACCAGGACTGTAGAAGCTCCGGATTAGAACACATGCAGGAGGGGTCCATGAAACATGTGATACCTCATACTACTCACTCTTCCCAAAGACTGCTTGAAGCGACAACCCCGACATCCACCCCCCCCCACATACGGAAATCAGAAAGAAAACTGAGCCCTTTTTGACCTCGCTTAGGTCGTGTCCATCTGGATGGTGTGCACCAACGGGCCGACCTTCACAGCTCCATTCAGCTTGCAAAACTGGCTCCCCCGACGGACGAACACGAACGTGCCGTTTTGTCCCGCCGCTCGGAGCCATCAGAAACGCGCCGAAAGGAGCCGTAGATTTTCTTTGGGTGTCACATGGTGATACACGGTGTCAATCTGATCGTCATGCATCAATCTGAAGCTCGTCAGCCTCCAGATTCCGCTCTGACTGTCCATGTTGATCCGGTCCACCGATGTCCATGGCGTTCTCGTCCTCAGATTCTCTCATTCCCTCATCATCCATCTCCAGCCAAGTCTGCTCCAGCTCTGCACATTGCTCTGCACACTGCACTTCGTTCACAAATTGAGGGCTCTCGATCACATCCTCCAGCTTCACTGGAAAGTCTTCCGCATGACATCGGATCAACTCGACAGTGTCTCCATCCACATCTAGAGCAGTGCAAAAGTACCTTAGATTGGCATGACCATACCCAAACCATACATACATACATATATATATATGCAATAGTCATACATACAGATATATATATATATATTTATACATATATACATTATGATACTATTCACTCCATGTATGACCCTAATGTAACTATTCCACTTCGATTGGCATGACCAATCCGCCCGACACGGAAATCGGTCGGCGTGTTTTTCAGTGGAGATTGGACCCCTCCCTTCATCTCCAACGAAGCTCCTGGTAAGGTTGGTTCATAAGCTGGGTGCAGTGGGTCAATGACATCTGATTTGGTCTTGCACTCGCGAGGGCGGGGTTGCTTCAAATGGGGGCTGCTTCAAATCATGCACCTCACAAAATCATTCTTGAACATCCGTGAGTTTTCACACATGAATAGGGAGTTCGGAAATGATGTGAAAATCCAAGGATTTCAAGAATGAGACTGGGGATTCATCAGCTGAAAAGCAACATCAAAAATAAGACATGTCAGTCTTCATGGAGCCAGGAAGCATGGGTAGTGCAGGCAATCGACAACCCCCGTGAAATTGGCCGTTCAAGGAAAAGAGTGCTGCATGTCGGTCTGCATCCAAAAGCAATCCGATCACATCCCCACTCTGCACATGTGGCAATGGACGGCGATGTTTCCTCTCATAAAAGGCATCCAAATGGCCGCTGGAAGCGGCTCGGCGACCTGAGTAGTAGAAACAACCAGGTACATCTCCACCCTGAGAACCTGCTCTGTCTTTGAACATTGTCACACCACACCACTGCTCATCTTGCAGTCTGCGCATGTGAAACTCTACAAAGTGAACACCTTGACGGACCGGGAACTGGCTCAACACATTCACATAGTCCATAGTCCAACAGTTATCTGTATGCACCATGGTGACCACAGCGCCTCTGGCCGAAAGGTGCTCCTTGTCGGGATTTCCTTCAATGTCCCAAGTGTACAGGGGCGTGTCATCCACTATCAGGAGCAACTCCACGACCTGTGAACTCTCATCAAGCGCTTCAAGGTTCTTGAGGGGCTTCCCGTTGCACACGAGCTTGATCAGCTCTGGGGTCATGCCACATGCCTTGCTCGCCTCGTCCATCAGCTCTTCGAAGGAGCTTGGAACTGGAATCTCCTTGGAGGCAAAGATGGGCGAACACTTCCATGAAGACCTGATGCATTTTAACTCCGGGAGTTTCAATGGGGGCACATCTAAGCTCTCTCACCTTTGAATCCTCTTCGAGTTCAGTCAACCCTGCGCCCTTGCTCCACACTTCAGGCCTTCCCCCACAAAACGCCATTTGTTTCATGGTTCTTCTCTGTCTCGTTCTTTCTCCGATCCCCAAAAAGCACGCAAAAGGCTCCGCGCCCAAAACCTCCGGGCCCAGGCGCCAGCAAGAGACTCCCAGCCAAGTTCCGAAGCCTCCAAGACGATCTCTCCATGTGGCCGGTCGAGCGATGGGAGAAATCAAGGTTTGCAGGGAGGATCGTGCTGGAACCATCGATGTAGTATTATTAATTTAATCCAGTCTGGAGTTTTTTTTGGGAGGACAAACTTGGGCTTGCACTGTGTGTCTGTGTGTGAAGAGTTTGTGGAGTCAACAATATTGAGTAATTAATGACATTTGCACATGACATCACATGACAGGCTGAATTCTGTCTGTCAACAAATACGTCATGCCAACTTTATGATTGTCACTACCCTCTGGCAGTCCAAAACCGGCAAAGACATTGACAAGTTCACTTGGTTTTGTCGTAATCTTAAGTCCCCCCAACTAAGACGACGGAGGTTGGACACCTATAAAGCTTAGGCTGTGTAGGCTTGAACCCGCATGGCTCAAGAGCCTTCCTTTGTCCAAAAAGGGCAGGAGTTCCATTGAAATCAACTGGGCTGGAGCAAGTTCCCTGTACCAGTTCCGCCAGGTGGGGGTGCTCTGCGTCGTTGAAGTGCGGGTCGAAAGTTCAGTCTAATCCGGCACAAGTGGACGCCCCAAAATTTTTGCTGAAGGGCCAATGGTTTTCCAACCTATAGACATCTATAGAACTATCTATCGACTATTCCATATAGGTACCCCAGCAGGGTCCTACAATAAGGTCACTTAACCTCTTGGTTGGTCTTCAGGAGTCTCACCGATGATTCTTGAAATCTGGGATCAAGACCTCTCCAGCTGACTCTGGCTTGGCTTGGGCGGTGATGGGCAGTGGGGCCTGCAGCAGGAGGACTCTGCTTGACCAATGAACATGGGCAGAATAGAATCGAATTATCAGCGAGGTCAACTCCAGATCAACCAATCAAGGTTTTGACCCGTTCATTTCTCCTCCCAAACGAACAACACCTCTGTTCCCGGCACATCCGTATCCGCTCCGCTCGTCTGCTCCCCGGATCGACCAAACGAGCAAACGGATCGAGCAAACGTGTTTACTCGCGTCGGATGGCCTGGATGCCCTCGAGCTCCAAGTGCTTCAGGTCTTGGTGCAACTCCTCATGAAGCCTCGGCGAATTCGTGGGACCCCGAACGCTGAGAAAACTCGCGATCGACCGAGACTTGACAGAGATGCCCGATGAAGTCAGCCTTAAAATGTGCGGGAGTTTGGGAGGGGAAGACTGTGTTTCAGAGGGGTTTCGGGAGTGGTGCATTCAGGGTTCCAAGATGTTCCAAGATGCGCCCCCCTGCAGTTTTATGGAAGTTGATAGACCAGCCATCAAATATCATAAAATACCATCACTATAGTCATCTATTATAATAGGTAGTAATAGGTAAAAAATAATAAATAGCCTCTTAGAGGTTACGGGATGTCCAAAAAGCACCTGTTGGAAGGTCCCGGTAATAGACATCAAACACTTCATACAACTTCTGCAGACTGCCGTCAGATGTCCAACACGGTGGCTTCATGTGGCTTCCAAGAAATCCAAAGAAATCCATTCCCAATCCATCGGACAGGCCATGACAGGCCTAGTGACCGTCAAATAGACCCTCATAACATCTCAAGACCACCCGAATCCAGTCGCCTGGAGTGTCTGGGGATGATTTCCGAAATGACGAAACTCCTCCAGACCCTCAGTCACCCACCTTCAGCTAACAGGGAAAAAAAACACACAAACGGTGGTTTTCCCACCGCAACCGCCACATCAAAGCGCGCACCAGCCCGCGACGCGCGGTTCACAAACTCTCAGCGGATTTTTCCCGCGGAAAAACGTCCGTTCGATCCGAGAAGCGCGATGGCGTGGAAGTCGTGATCGCCCAACTCCACCTGAGCACGGCCGTGGTGACCGAGTCGAGAGCGTGGTGACGACGAAGCAAGCGTAGCTACGTGGTAGCAGGTCGAGACGAGACGAAGGTTTTTTATAGGCACCTGGAAAGATCTTTATTTGGACTAACAAAAAAAAGACAGGTTACCACATGTTACCACCATGCCACCATGTAGACATAGTTATACACATGTATATATATATATAATATTTCAATACCTAGAAGATCCTTTCGGCAGAAATTCTTGCCTTTTTCGGGAAGAGCGGCTCTCCCCGTCCTGGGGCGGAAATCAACTTTTTGCCGCGGAAATGTTTTTGTTGCCGCAAATTTCCCTTTCAGGAATCTAGTGAGAGACTACATATATTCTATATAGAGCAGTTGCATCTTTTTGGTGGTTTGCATGTGCATTGGGCATTTCTGCCTGGAATGGTCACCTCATGGATAAAAAAAAGATGGCGGCGCTTAAGTTTCCACCTCCACCTGCAAATCTGGCTACCATGCTTTTGTTTTTGAAGTTTTCTTTTGCGGAATGAGCACACGAGCAGTAAAACCAGTCCAAAGTTGAAAACACCTGGCGCGAAAATGCCCGGGAAAAAGGCGGAAATACCCGGGAAAGAGGCGGAAATACCCGGGAAAGCGGCGGAAATACCCGGGAAAACGGCGGAAATTTCCTGGCAGAAGGCGGGATTCAAGAACAGTGCCCTTGAAGGGCTTGAACATATATCGCAGCCTCTTTGTGAATGTAATCAATTTAGAAGTAGGATGTCAGATCTTGAGATGTGAAACTATGGCCTTGCAGAACGATATGTGGTCTGCAATCATGGAAGAGACAACCTGGTCGGTGTTAGGCAGTGGTGATGGTTTTTGAATTGCTATGTCGGATTTTACTCGAGGCAAAAGTTCCCCGCTGGCCGCGGAAATTCCTACCTGGCGCGGATTTACCCTAAATCCGCGAATCCTCCCGGGCAAATCGGACTGAGGCAGAAATTTTTGCCCCAGGTGCTTTTAGGTATTGAATCTATCCCATTACCAGCAACAGTGGATGATGATGCTTAGCCAAAAGGCAGTATCTTTTTTGCGTGAAGTCATCCAAACATCTCCAAACGCCTCGCTCTTCGAAGCCGGGGCCCGTCTTGAAACGGGTCTTCTCATGCGTCTTCGTCATAGCTCTTCTCGCCTCGTCATAGCTCTTCTCGCCCGACAAGATCCTGGGCAGCTCCAGCGAGATGCCCTCGGAGGGCGGCATCTGTTCCTCGGAAGCGCGGAGCGGCGCTGCGAGCGGCGCTCTCCGCAGCGCAGCGGGCGCACGCTAGTGGGAGTTCTGCTACCTGCGCCCAAAGTTTATAAACATGACACTCGTAAAACACATCCCAGTTGTTCACCCTTCAACAATGATTTGGGAGGAACCAAGTGGTCTTCCAAAGGATCTTGAACAAGTAACGTGCAGCCAAGAAGCCTCCCTGGAAATCTGAGGGTGGTCTTGAGGTCGAGTATGGTCTTTCAAAGGTGCATGCTGAAAACAGGTCCCCACATGAAATGACATACTCTCTGGAAGTCAAAGACTTACAAAGCGTACGCTTTGGACTTCGAGGGTACTGGGTCTGAAATGTGCAGGCAATGACTACAGTAATACAATCCAGCCTGTTTTCGCTCCTGATCTGTCTACATGAGGGAAGCCCTTCGTCAACGAAGCTCTTTGGCACATCAACATCTTTGGGAGAAGAGACCATCCCACAATTGCTCAACATTCACCTGGATACTAACTGCATGGGCCTGTCCAAGTGTGCCAATGCTCCCAAAAATCGATGGTTGGCCACCCGAGTACGTGGCCCGGCCAGTGCACTGGACTGCAGAACCGTCAACGCACCCCTGCAGAACCTCCAAGTGAAGTGTGTGCGTACCCTACAGGGGTCACCTTCGGTTGGCCTTCTGCAAAAAAACATGGTCGGTATTTTGAGACATTGACATATAATCATATAGCCATAATCTGTCAGGATCTGTGCCATCCTGCTCCAACCCTGGTCCAACCCCCCCCCTGAAGGCTCAACCCCGGCGTCCACAATGGCATTCTTCTTCGCCCAGCGCAGCGCTTCCGAGCCTTCTCCGTCGCCGCGAGAGCCCGAGCTCTCGAGGCTTTCGCTGCGAGCGGGTTGCTCCTCGCGCGGGCCCACGCGGCCGCGCAGTGTCCGTTTAGTGGGTCGGGTATCTTTGGAGAAGTCACCCCGTACTCAAGACCCATCCGCAGTTCTCGAAGCAATCCTACAAAATGGGCGCCCCGACCCACTAGGCCCACTATAGGCACTCACTCCGATGGCAACGCATGCTTCTCCCAGAGCTCCTCGACCTCTTCGGCGGTGCTTCGCACCGCGTCCTCCACTGGATCCGAGTGGTGCCGTCCGGGGGCCTCTAGCAGCTCGTCCGCCTCCGGTGCTTCCGTGACCTCGCGCAGCACCGGGCCTGGCGACGGAAGAGCCGGAGCCCGGAGCGAAGGTCGCGGACTGAGGAGATCTGAACGGTGTGGTAAGAAGGGAACAGTGTTTTACATGTACAGTAGTAGCTGTGTTTCAATTCATTAGGGGAAGAGGTGTCCTCCCTTTATGACCAGCGAAGCAGCACTTTTCTTGAGGGGTCTTCCCTTGGGTCTTCCCACCATTTTAATTAGCTGGATGAGTTTTTTCAGGGGGTCCAGATTCATCCGATTCCTTGATCGATCCTCCAAGAGCCTTGTTGAACTTTGTCAAGCTTGTTCCATGTTTCTCGAAAATCTGTCCGACCAACAGTGGCAGAAAATTCACCTGTGCTGTCTGTACATCCACTGGAGTAGCAAGTGTTGGTAAAGCCACGATGCTCTTAGAAGATCCAAGAAGCAACACAACCCCCCATAGGAAATTGAACCAACCTGCCAGGGTGTGCCAGATAAAATTTGCCCATGCAATCATGCAGCTTCAAACTGCAAGACTTCAGTCTGGGCTTTATCGCTCGATTCCACCAGATATTGTAATAATATATTACTTCAAGTGCTCCCCACCTGGGCCGCCATGCTCAGCCTGCGCAAATGCCTGCGCGGCGTTGGGCACCGAAACTGAAGAGGTGATGAAGCTGGAGTCAGAAATCACCAGGCAGGTTGCTGCCATGTCTGAAACATTGAACTGGAAAGTCCCTTTCAGAACTGCTCGAGGCCTATGAGGCCTATGAGACCAAGTCACTTGGATTCAAGGTCCAGAAGCCGACGAAAGTGGTCAAATGTGGTCAATAGAGCCCCGGAAAACTTCAAACGGCCAAGTGCTGATTTGAATCTCTGGGCAACTTCTACCAGGTCAGTTTGTTGATTGTGTTTAGCAACAACCTGGCTGCGCTGGCTGGTCGTCCTTCATTCACCCCTTAGCAGTTGAAAGAAATCTAGACTTCCACTGTCCACTAATTATACATGACAATGATGGATGGGAGTTGGCAGGATCTGTGGATTTCTTTAAAACAACACCCTCAACCGGTGCTTCAAACTGTCAGACTGCGGCTCAAAAAACATCTGAAAGAGATCTGCTTGGATTGGATGTTTTTTTCTGATCCACACGTGGATGTTGCCACAAACCATCTGCACTGGCAGCTCGGCGGCCGCATGGCCATTGCCATGGCCACTGCCATGGCCACTGCACCCCAACAATTCATGCAGACTGTTGATGAATAACACCCCCCGTGAGTAAAACACAAAGCTCTATGGTTGTACCATGCTCAGCCCCCCTTAATTCTCCTTTACTGGCAAGAAATCAGGGCCCGACCCACACCACTGATATTGTCAAATCCTCATATGGAGATATTGGACTTTGTTTACCATCCAGGTAGTGTGGTTTTATTATGTTTTATCTAGTGATGAACGGTCTACATTGAGCACCAAGGTCATATATTATATAACTATATCACATTGCTGTTCACACATTTTCCCTTGATTCCCATGAAATCGCCCGTGTCTGGCCATCTTCCGCCTTGCCCTCTTGGTCTGTGCGCGCAGTATTTTGTGCAGGGCCCGTCCCTTCAGAGACTGCCTGCTGGGACGGGAGAGGACGAAAACGACAGCGCCATCGACACACAAACCACAAAGGATGTCCGAGCGAATGGGAAGAATACGAAGAAGTCAGTTGGGTGCCATAGACCTGTTGGTTGATATTGGTTGCGCACTCCTGGGCTGTATGCCCTCTATGAATCAACCAAGCAATCATCGCAAAAGGGCCATCTATCGCGGTCACCGAGTCACAGGCAGAAGCATGGTGAAGGTCACCAATGGAGCAAAAGCAATGGAATATAATGGGAGGGACGGAGGTCAATGAAATTCAATGAACACCTGGTCCGGTCACCAATGGTTCAATTGGACAATTGGTGACCGGACCATATGGTTTCCCAAAATGTTTCCCAGTTTCCCCCACAACAAGTCTCCACCAAGTCATTCCAGGGGGCCATGTTCCACTTCCATGATTGTTTCAGCTGAGTGTCGTTTCCTCTTTCGGCAGGACCCTCCGGCCCAGCAAGGAATGTACTGAGTGGCATCTATAGTTGGTCGAGTGCTGTCGGATGGATTTCGATGGTGAAAGAACACCTCTTTGCTCCCTTTACTTGCTGGATAGGTCAAACTCTCGGCTGCCCTTTCTTCCAGATTCGGCGCCTTGAAGGCGCCTTGGAACAAAACACCTTTATATGTATATAACCATTCAACCTTCCAGCGCCCACATTTTCCATCCTCAAGGAGCTTCACAGGCTGGCTGGCTAGGCATTGCATGGGGCCAGCTTCGACCCTCGACTGCAGAACGTAAGGGAGGGCGGGTTCTGGGTGAGCTTGAACGACGCGGTGCAGCATCATGGTTAGTGGAGCAACCATTTAACCTTCCAGCGCCGACATTTTCCATCCTCAAGGAGCTTCACAGGCTGGCTAGGCATTGCATGGCCAGCTTCGACCCGTCTCACCCACCTTGTTCAAGCTTTTCGTTCTGCAGGAGCACATGCCAAACCTCAGCCGGCAAACTCAACGAAGCATAGTGTCGACAACAAAGTTCCAACGCTTGTGGGAAAGGTTGAGCCAACGCCAGAACGAGGTCACGGGATTCTGGGGTGATGCGTTTTAGGAAAAGGAGGGCAGTTGTCTCTTGTACATAGACCTCCATCACTTTCTGTGAAAGCCAACATCCTTTGCGCCGACAGTATTCGTCATCTTCCGTCATCTTGAGATGCCAGGTGGCACCCCCGGCCCGGAGCGATCCCGGGTCTAGGGGCTTGAGGCTGTTCTGTTTTTCAACAGGGAGTTTCAATGCTGACAAAACTGATTGAAATCTAGCGCGCAAAGTCTGGCCAGACCAACTCCATAGCTTTGCAGCACTTGACAGCCTGCCAAAAGCTAAATCAACCACTTCAAGTAGGTCTGGGATGTCGATCTTGCCCGCTTGATGCTTGGCCCCTGTTTGTCTGGTTTTGGGCTCTCTTTTATAGCCAATATTCCGAAGAAAATGGTGTGGTCCACGTCACGTGGAAGAAGCAAGTCAGACCGGTGAGCATTGAGCATTGAGAAGTTCACCAGGTCTGAGGAGTGCGCCCCACATCCAACTCAGAGCACCGGCCAGAGGCACCCATCCCCACATCAAACACACTGCATGGCATGGCCACGTGGTGAGCTGTAGGCTCTGCTTGCATCCACTGAAAGGCCAGATCCCAACTACCCTGCATCCATCTTCTCAGGACGGGCTTCTTTGACGTCAAACAGTTGATCGTTTCAGCATATTGGTTATACGGACGACCGGCTCGGTAAAGTGCACAACCAAAAGACGTCATCACAGCGTTTATCTCATCAATGTTTTTTGAGTGATCTCTTAACAGCCCTTCCCAATCAATCCCTTCAGCAGCTACCCAACACATAAATTGAGCCCAGTAGCGTTCACGAAGTTGGTTCGTCCTCTCCATCGTAGGACACCCCTCTGGCAGCTGTGGCCTCAAGGCCCTCAAGGCAGCTCTGCTATAGCATCGGCTGAAGTGGCCGGTTCCATGGCGGCGGTGCGACGCCCCTCCAAAAAGAAAACGGAAGCAGCCAGCACCCAGCAAGGAGCATGGAGGAACAGCGAGAGAAGCGACAGCAAAAGTCCAAAGAGGCGGCAAGGGCCAAACCAAACCCTGAATGAAAGATGACAGTGGCGGAAGGAAGGCCGGGGCCCTCTCCTGGGTGAGAGCTGGAAGTCCCTGAACGGTTCATGAAGGCTGACCATCGATACGCTGAGCGGTCGGCAAGAGAAGTGATGCTTGGACCAAGACAGTAGGAGCAAAATCAACCTGATCCAATTTGAAGCCCATCGCTTCGTCGGTTTCAAGTCCTTGAACTGGTTGCCGAAGAGGGGTGTCTCTGGTAGGATCATCCGCACCATGTACAGGCCAAAAGCGACCATGACGGAGGAGATCCACCGAATCACGGAGGACAAAGCTCTGGATGATGAGCGGCCCTTGCCTAAGGCGCACCTAGTGACATTCGAGTCGACCAAACAAGCCAAACGGGTAGGGCCCTAATTTGCTCTCTTTTCAAGTCTCTCAACTGCTTTCATCTCCAGAAGGTTGATGTGTGAAGGCCGCTTGAATCTCCAGGAGCTGTCTACACTCCAAGCACCTGAGACCATGATCTCATTGACCAACTGGTTTTCAAGGCCCTGCACATTGCAAAACTGATCTGCGTCTTGTTCTCTCTATCTGCAGATGGCCTGGTTGAACACCTCTGCAATTGCGTGGGACAGCTCTGGGGTGTAGATTGCTGAAGCCTTTGTATAGACACCTTGCACTGGGATATGGTTGCGCTTGCCCTGACATCGTCTCATAAGAGGGCACGGGTCAATGTTGATGCCCAAAAATGCAAAAAGACTTCTGGTGAACTGACATGAATCTGTCCTCACTTCAACCAGCTCTGGTAGAGCACGGACTGCTTGGTAGGGCGGAAGGAACTTGGTCTTTGCAGAAAAGGGTCTTTCCAAGAGACCTGATGCCCCATGTGCCCCTGCCTTCCAAAGAAGTTGAAGGCCTCGCAATGCCAGAGTGTTCCCATCCTTTGTCTTATCCTCAGACGGATCAAACCCATAGGGAAAATGACGATCACGGAGAGGAGGTCGCCTCATGATGGCGAAAGTAGTTCTTAGCGCGCCTTTTGTGGAACTTGAAGTTGATGAAGCCTCCAGACCAAAGGGGTCGTTTCCTTGGATCAAATGGGAAACGAGGGCGGTCAGAGCGGCAGACTGCTGTGTCAATGGGTTCGTCTTGTAGGTGAAGAGGTGGCCCTATCACAGGACTTGCACGAGTCCTCGGCGGAGGCCCACTAGCTGCATCGACTTTGCAGGAGTCAGCTTCCCTGGAGCCTGTAGCCCGCTGCACGAGTGACAAAGGAAGGTCTGCAAGTGCCTGGCAGTTTTGGAACCTCGGTTGGTTCCTCCTGCTTGGAGGCGATAAGGGCAACTGAGTGAACCGTCATCTCCTACCTTGCAGGAAGACATCCAATCACTCACTGAGGCCATCATACGGATAGAGAGGCAGAATCAGCGCCTTCCGCTGCGGCTCCCGGGCGTCTGGGAGGAGGTTGGGAGTTGATAGAGGACGGCATCGAGATCCCAGGCGCTCCACCCGTTTTCTCTCGTAGAAAGCCAACCATTGAGTTCGAATCCGGGCCACCTGCGACAGCGAGCTTCTGCATCGAGGCTGCTGGTCGACACCTCTCGTCTTGAGCTGCTAGGGCCTGAACTTGTTCGGCCAGCGATGCATTTGTCACTCTCTTGGCGGGAGGCTTTTTCAAAGCTGGAGGCCAGGACGGTGGCTCGTCTCGAGCACTGTAAAAATGTAGCCTCGCAACACCTTCCTCTTCAGCCCAAGCTCGCGCTGTAGAGACTAACTCCGGGAGAGATGGCAATGCCGTAGGAGCTGCCTCTGAGAAAGAGCTTATGGCCTCAAGCGAGTCGGTAACAGGGTCATACTCCCTCATCAAAGTCATGACATCCTCCGAAAAGTCCACAATCAGGACCTCACTGCGGAATCCAGCTTGGAAAACAATCCCATGCTCATCTTCATCTACCATATCAATCTCTACGCCTTGGACGGTCCAAGAAGATCATCTTCCCCACTTGCCGTGCCTTGAAGGAGCACATCTTCACGAAGAACTCCTATGGGCATTGCCAAAGCACACCACCTCTACGATGGTCAACAGGACATGCAAAGGATTGGAGTTTACCTCCACTTGTGGACAGCTATGCGGGAACATTGATCACCAAAAGCGAGGATCTGCATTCTCTGAGGCACACTTCAATGTGGAGCGGTCCATCGCCACAAAGGTGGGATAGACACAGTAGCTCCTGCACAGAAGATGTGCAGTTCTGTCAGGGATGGCAACTTCTCCACAAAAACGATGTCCTCAAACTCCCTCAACAAGCGATCGCAGTCCCGTTGAGATGTCCACTCCCTTTCCTCAGCACGCAGTGGGTGGCTTGAATTCCAGGCTTGTAGAGGCTTTCACCACGGTCAGTGTTGCAAGCCCAAAAAGCTCTGGCCCAGAATCCTGCCTTGAAGGCTACACGCGCTCTGTCCTCTGGGTGTGCCTTGGAATCATGCAAGTAGCCTCTGAAGTCGGTGCAACTGGAGCACGGGGAGGAAGGACCCCGGGTAATGGAGAAAGGCCAATGCAAGCCAGATGCAGCAGCCCAGGCCCAGAACAAGTCCAAGACAAAGACCGGTGGTCAAAGGGAGTATCAGGGATGGATGGCAGTGAGCAGGGCAAGCAAGGGAGGTCGAGAGCGAGGCCAAAGTCGAGAAGCCCTCGACCACAGCACCCAAGGACCACATCAACCACTTGAGCTTGAACGACGCGGTGCAGCATCATGGTTAGTGGAGCATGTACACACAGTGTTTCAACATCAACATCTGATCTACTGCATGATCCAGATTCATTTTCGTCTAGATGCATTAACAATATACTAACAAAGTAGTGCAAACAGTAGATCTTCTGTCTGGATCGGTCCAGATCGGTCGATCGAGACTCTTCAGACCGACCGGGTCCGCCTGGGTGTCTCGCTGAGTCGACTCGCCGCTGCTGACAGTGCTGACAGCCTCGCTTTCTTCGGTGACTTCGACGGTTTCGCGAGTTGAAACATATTCATGTGTTTTGTTGCTTTTTGGGGGGGCGGATTCGGGTGGATGAGTGTGGATGAAGGTGGATGTTCTTGTTTGGTTTGAAGATAGACTATAGAAGATCAGAAGATCTAGACCACCCATCCTGTGGCCATGTATAGCATAAGTTTGTATATAGGGCTTGATATGCTTGGCCAAAACGATGGACGAAGATGATACAGGAGCCTTCTGCTGATGGACAGTCTATTTTGGGAATCTGCTGCTCGTCTTCGCTGCTATTCAATGCAAGTGGAGCCTCCATGACTGCAGGTGGTTTAGCAAAGGGTTCATCTGCATGAAAATAAACACCTATCCAAATTCTGGCTCGTCACCGCGCCGGTCCAAAACTTTTTCTTGTCAAACAATCCGGGGGGTCTTCCGTCCAACAATGGAGCACCAGCACCGGCACGACGGAGCCGGGGCCTCTGTAGCTCTTGTTGCGGAGTCAGCACTCTGCTTCGAGCCCGCTCTCTGCTTCGAGCCGGCCCTGGTTTTCGAGCCGGCCCTCTGCTTCGAGTCGGCTCGGGTACCATCCACCTGGGCGTGTTTCTTTTCGGCATACCTGGTCGACACAAGGGCAAGCTGGGCCAATGTATAATAATCTGATAATCAATGGGTGAAACGAACATGTGTCATTATCTCAACTGAGCAGCATGAGAAACATCCAGCTGACAGCCATCATGTCATGCCACCACTGATGAATTTATCCTAGTTCGTCCTAGCTTGTCTTAGAGACAATGAATTGGTGGTAGTCTATTCTTTTTCTTTCACTGACTGAGCTTTGTGAGAGGTTCCTCCATTTCAAGACCCTCAGGTTCGAGGATGATTGTGACAGCCCCAACTTCTCCAGCCACTGTAGCCGTTTCAAAAGGCTCCAACAACAGTGTGACGTCACCTTTGTCTAGTAAGTAAGGGGAGATTTCTTTTTTGCGGCTTCCGTGTGACAAACGTACAAATGAACAACGCCGGAAACATACATCAGGTATCAGGTCATCTGGTCACCCACAAGTTCATCGGCAAATCAAGCAAACTGCATCTCCAGCATCCGACACCTCGTGACCGTCTCATGACCGCCTCGCCACAATACAAGTCTTACCGACCTCATTTCACTGGCTTCGGGAACATGCAAGAAAAAGTTCCTCCATGAAAACCCGAATACCCTTCATCCTCGAGCAGGTTTTACTTGGTCCACTCAGTCCACTCCACTTGCCTGGTCACCGTCACCGGTGGTCATAAATCAGCGGTGGCCCACCCAATCCCACCCATTACCATCATCTGGTCTCACCTGCAAAGGAGCGTTCTCGGCGGAACCCGGAGCACCCTCTCCTGGCGCCGGGAGCGTCTCAAGAAGCGGCGCCCCGGGTTGATTTGACACGAAGAAGCTAAGAACGGTGCTTTGTGCATGGGTCTGCTCGTGATGAGGTCTTCAGATGCTGCCCAAAAGGTGTATTACATGGAAGGGTAGGGACTAGGGTAGGGTTATTACATCCTAAGGTTTTTGTACAAGGTGCTGGAAAATGTTTTTTGGGCATGATTATAATGGGGCGGGGATGGGCGGGGAGTGGCAAACTCAATTTGAAGCCAAAAAGAAGACTCAAAGAAATTCTAAAGAAGGTCTTGACTGGAATTCAAAACATGATAAAATTAACCAATATGCTTCGTTCAAGGAAGTTGGACCGAATTATGTAAGTAGGTTTAGAATAGGTGCTTTGGTTCCATTATGCGTTGGGGTGGTTGTTGGATTCTGGGGCATGTTGGCCTAGTGAGGAGGATTGATCAAGGAAGGGAAGAACTTGGGGGGAGATGAGGATGAGGATACCATCGAAGTACCAATTGGCCGGTTAGATGGGAATCACAGGTTGCAGCATTGGCTGACAAAACGAGGGGGGGTCAGCAAGGCATGTCATGGCATCCTCATGGGAGAGCATGGGATGACAGGATTTGGACTCTATCCCCTTCTCCGTCCTTCATCTTTCACCATGGGAACGAGTCAAGGCCTCCTGTTCTGGCCGGCCACTCCGAGTTGCAAGAATGCTCATGAAACCTCCGAGAGTGAACGGTCCCAGGTGAAGTTCCGTCCATCCCTCCCTTTTCGACCGCTTCCTCCGGTAAATGAGAGACACCCGATCTCTCTGTCCTCTCCGACTTCTACAAAACCCCATCCCTCCATCCATCCATCCATCCATCCATCCACTGAAGACACCGGAACACCTCCCAAAACCCCGGGCATCTCCGGCATCTCCCGGACTCGCTCTCCTGGCGCTGCGGACTCGCTCCGGCGCACGGCCGGCACAGAGCCCTTGGAATGACCTGTGCGGCGGCCGCGCGGCCGGGCGCCGCTCACGCTTTGGGTGCCGGTGCAGCGGAGATCGAGGTGAACAAAGACACGATTTTTTGAGGCGAGTAATGAAAATGACTAAGTGACTCAGTAGTTCTTTCACCATACAAAATGTCTTTTGTGCGAGCGCAAATTGTGCGTTTCACGGGCACACGTGGGAAGATGAGAAACGCTGGTAGTGTCGGCCAATAAGGAGTTCTAGATCTCAACTTATGCAGGAGAACTCTTCAGCAAACTCTTCAGAACCAACATGAACCAACTACAAATACTAGATCTAGAATGACTATAAATGACTATGAATGAATGGTTTTAAACCCCGGAGAAGTCATAGCCGGAGTCTAAAACGATACAATAAGACCCTCCTACCAGCTGGTGCAAGGGGACCTCGAGGGTGGTACACCATGGTACACCCTTGCACTTCTCACCATCCAACGACTTACAGTAAAGCCCTTTTGAAAATCCTGGTGGAGCTTCACTTTTCTCCTTGACCTCACCTGAACATCCTGAGCTCCAAGATGCTTTATCTATCCCAAAGGAAAAAACTCATTCTTCCT